CGCCTCCTCCTCTTGGCGTTTCCAGAGGGCTCGACCCTCGCCCGCTTGCGCTGCCCTCGGCCTTCTCGCCCAGCCTCGATCCACTTGTGCTGTTTAACCCGCCCAGGAGGAATCCTGCTCCTAATCCTGCTCCTAACAAGTCAGCTACGACTGAGAAGCGGCGATAAACACACACCAGAAGCAAGCTGCGAAGTCAGCAGGGCAGATCCTCACGAGAGGCTTTTATTCTGTTACTGGGGGTACGACCTGCGCTGCTCTGGGGGTGTAAATTGCGCTGGAGTCTGCTCTCCAGGTGAATGAAACCAGGATCTTTTAAGGGCAAAACATCTACGCACACATCCATGCAGCTGGCCCGTTAATAAATCAATAGGAATTCAGTGACGCTGCTTAATCCTCCGAAAGATCTGTCAAACTCAGAAGTCTTGAACTAAAGCTCCTGGTTTGGCAGAGTAACAGTCTGGAGGGGAGAAAAAAAAGTGTCTTATTGTCACTCCTAAATATCAAGTAGATACGTGTGTCTGATGTGTTTCTCCCCTGCTCAGGTTGGGGACATCCAGATCTTCAGAGCAATACCTTTGGTCACAAACAGTATTGCTCTAAAAATCAAAGATGCTAAAAAAAAGCAATGTAAACCCTTGCTTTTTAGCTTTCAGGAAAAAGCAGACTTGAAGCACAGCACGGAGTTCGAGCACGAGGAAGGTGGCAGGGCAGGTCGGCACACCAGGGATGGAGCCTGGAGTGACACTTTCATCCCATCCCAAGAGGAAAAGCCTGACCAGAGCTACTGGAGTTGTGGTGAAGCCTGATTTCTGTCCCCCCATCTATCTCCTATGCTCTAAAGACACCTCCACCCATCTCCCGGGGGAACAGGCTGAGGGGTTTAGTCAGTCGTGACTTGACGGCTATTATTTTGACGAACTACCCAGACAAATCATCCTGAAGCTTCTCAAGCAAGCACTCCAGGGAGCAAGTCCACCTTGCACAGCTCACAGAATTTAGCGCTCCGTTCCGATGGCACATGAGGCAAAATGACACATCGCATCCCGAGAGTAATTAAAACCCAGAGCATTAAAGACTCATAGCCCCTCATTGTTATTTTGAGACGTCAAAGGGGAAGAAACAAAAGGCAACAGCAGAAACTTGGGCTACATGTTCCAAAGCCAGTTTGAACAGGAATACAAAGAGAGGGCCCTGCTGCGGGAGCAGGACTCGGCTGAACGTATCACATGCAGCAAGGAGGGAGCGAGGCAGAAGCAGTCCAGCAAGGACACAGTCAGTCCAGTTCACATTCTCCTCTCAACGCGTCACAGACAGAATTTACCCCTTTAATTCGGTGTTGCCTGGTGGTGGCAAGTTGTCTTCGCTCACGCAAGCAATAAAGATACATGGAGAAAGGGAGGGCGAGACAAAAGGGAAGGCATTAGGCCTGAGAAGAAGAAGATTCGTCCTCTTCTCACTTAAAAATGGTTCAGCCATTGCTTCACTTCCACGCTGAGGACTGCTAGATACAGAAACCAAATTTTTCTTCGGTACATACAAGCATACATCGAGAAGGTACCTATGACCATAGCACACAGCACAGAGTAGCACAAGTTTAGAATGGCTTAAGAGTTCAAACAAGACAAGCATTTACTTGGAAGGGAAAATATTAATATTTTCATCTTAGATGCAGGTGCTTTGGGTGGGAGGGGAAGGGGCTGGCTCAAGACCCAAGGCCAGATACTCATCCCATGTGCAGCCAGGGCAGAAAAAAGGTATCGGCCTCTTGCTTACAAAGTACAGTTTTGTATCACGCACAGAACAGGAGTGAAATCTTTATCTTTGAATATCACTGCCAGCAGCATACCTTTGGAACAAAAGGTCAGTAGGTAAGAAGAGAATGAGACCTCAAAAATGAGTTTGACTTGAACACTCACGGCCGGTAAGTTCAACTTGTGAACTGATCTTCAAGGCCTTACATTCTCCTCTTACATTCTAGCTTCTTCAGGTTTTTTGTTCTGCTTTTGAAAAAGCGCAGCCAGCAAACGCCACCTCTTCTTTGGGCTGCGAAGCGGGAGCCTCTCCGATCCCAGGCGAGGACTCCTTGTTTCAGCCCAGCTGAAACAGAGCCTGGGCCCACCCTGGCTCCCCTGTCAGTTAACCAGCAACGTCCCGCAGAGACTCGCCAGCCCACACCGGTGGAATCATTGTCACTCCTGTGCTTAGAAACAGCACAGTCTTTTCCAGATGTAGAAAACAAAATGAAAATATCTTCATCAAAGCAAAAGCTAAAACAAAACAAAAGCATTTTGTTGGAAGGCAGTGAGCTGGGGAAAATGAAATTCCCCTTTTCCATGCAGGTTGAATGCTGCTGGTGGAGGAACACCAGGCAGGGCTACAGGCAAGTTGTCTCTCACTTGCTGCTGCACTAAAGGCTTTCTGTATCTTTAGCTTCTACATACAATCCCGTGTTTTAATAACTGGGGAGCTCCTGCCAGAAAGGCAGGCAGATCAGCATCTTCACCGTTAAGAACACGTGAATCTTATCGTTGCAACAACACAGGAGTACTCCTCCCCCTGGCTAAGTAAGGCCTCCTGTACTTGCAATCAGTTACAAATTACTTCAAGGTCCAAGTGTCAGTCCCTGGAAACAGCAAATGACAGCGGCAGAAGAGCCAGAACCTTTACTAGAGCCACAAATGATCTACAACACCTTTGTGGGATGTGCCCGGAATGGCGTATGTGTGTATATATAGATTTTGTATACAGACAGGGTACTGTTTCATTCTTTTTAATACATACACAAGTACCTATACATATATACATATTTACAATTTACACCAGCCAGTAGATGTATGCGTATTGTACATATACACACAAACGCCAAGAATACACATGCACACACACCGACACACACTCTTTAAAATAACTCCACATCCCAGGTAAAGAAGTCCTGCCACAGTCCAAAGAAAAGCAGCACCAAGTGGTGGGGGCTCAATATACCAGATTCAAGACTGCTTAGAACAAACACGAGCATTCACAGACTTTTTTTTACACTTGGAAAAATAAAGAATGGATGGCATAAGCTTCAGCCCAGCTACAAAGAACCTTCATGCAAACTTCCCAGCTACACTCCAGCAATCCTTGCTGTTCCATACTGGGTTCTCCTCAGTTGAGTGGGGTCCACCAGTGCTGCCCTTCGTTACTCCGGCTGACTAGATCATACCTTGCACAACGGCAATGCAGACAGGCCTACCACAGCACTATGGCAGTCACCAGGTTCTGCATTCTCTTCACCCCAAAACAGAGGCACGGCTGGCACTCATGGCAAGCACTGACCAGACTTGTCCTTTTTTTTTTTTCTAGCAGCCCACGGAACAGTGACAACAGACCTTTTCAATTAATGGTGTTGAATAGTCTCGTTTCCTTCTCCTTGCACACACCTTCGCTGTCAGGAGTTGCAAGAGGTCTTCTGGCTCTGCAAGGAAGGCAGCAGAGTCCAACTGAGTCAGCGAGCACTCTTCCCAGCAGCCAGAAGAGCCTTCTCTAGCACGTGCCTCTACAAAAGCGCTGTACTCCTTTAACACACCCAGACCGAGCAGCATGGGCTGCCGGAGCCTGTGGCGCTGCCAGGGATCTTTCCAGCCTCTCCGTTCTACTGGTTCAAAGACAGGATTGAGCTCCGATCATGGCGGCATGCAAAACGGTAACGGGGCTCCATGGTTTAACCTGTAAGAGGAGCACCAGCATCTCTCCTGGGGCACGGGGATCCAGCGCAGAGGGGGCAGACGCAGAGGGGCTGGGAAGGGCTCACGCCCAGCGCTGCGCAGGACGTTCTTTCAGCTCCTGTCAGGGACTGGTAACACTGTGGGAGCCACACCTTCCACCCACACACGGAAAGGAGGGATAACACCTGCTGGGAAATGTCACAATTCCTATCCAGTACCTCAAAACGAAGAATGCCCCCTCCTCCTGGAGAGCTGTGGCAGCAGCACAAACGGCAAGATGGCCCATATCGCAGTGGGAGATGGGCGATCGCTTTCGTGGCTTTGTGATTTGTAAATCTGCTCACCAGCTGCCTGGGCAGGCGCAGTGGCTACCGTGTCCTTGGCCAGCGGCAACAAAGTTCCCCTATAAAACTGCTGTGTCAAATTTATAGGGAGCATTAAGCATCTTTACAACCTCGCTTCAAACCCACTGCTCCAAATGCAACTTAACTGTCCGCAGTTTTGTCCACGTACTCGCCTAAGACTGAAAAAATATATTTGTTACGAAGGACTCCGTTTTATTGCTATTGCTGGTTTGTACTGTGTGGTTTCATCTTTACCATGTCAAATCCAGACTCTTTGGGGATAAAATATTGGTTTTTTCTATTGATTTTTCCTCCAATTTCTTAAAATTGTATAAAAATAAAGCATTTCCACAAATGTGGGCTAAAGGTAACCAATAATACTTCTAGGCTTAGGATCAGCTGTTGGAAATGTGGTCGACAGCCACAAGACCAGAAATAAACCTCTAGTGATTCTTTACTTTAACATTTAAAAGACATGAAAACTTCTGTTTACAAAATTGACCCCATACAGAATGGAACAGCTAAACTTACAGCTGTTTGTTACTGTTTTTTTAAAATAGTGGTCCTAAATTTAAAAATAAAATCAAGTACTTCCTTTTATGGTTTTCACATTATAAAACTGCACCGTTCAAAATCTGTGGCCAGGGAAACCCCTTTGCAGTAAGACAGTTTCTTTTAATAGTCATCGAGGGTGTTTTCCAGGAAAACATTCCTAACATCCAGTATGGAAGCCAGCTCCAAAATGTGCTTTTGGAGGTGAGGGTTCTCCACCGTTTCATCTCTTGGCAGCTGAGGATAAGATTCTGGATAATTTCGAGTCTCCTGCTAGAGGACAGTGAAAACAAAGAGAATCAGACATTCATCTGCTTTGATAGCCTTTACGAAGAAGACTGCAAAAAGCCAATTTCACCCAAGAGGCACTCTAACTCGTTTGGCATGCCACGTGGAGAGAACACTCCAGCACTTTCAGTTTTCTCTTCCCATTGACTCAGAGATGGACGCAGTGGCAATACAAACACTCCTTCACCTAAGATGGTTAATAATATGCTCACAGAAGCCTCATAAAAAAAAATAAAAATCAAACCAAAAAAAACCACATGAAAAAAGACAAAACATCTTCACGTACACTTACCCACTAGGCTGCAGTTCATTTCTTGAAATTATAGACATGTAAGCATCTCCAGTGGGAGATTCACCTCATCCTAAAACAAATGCCTGACCCACGGCGGGCAGTACCTAACAGCAGACCTGCTGCTTTGCCCTGGCACCACAGAAGCCCGGGCAGCTTGGAAAGCTGCTTCGTGTCCGCACTTGGGCACAGTGGATACGGCACCTTTCTGCGCTCCAACTTCCATTTCTCCCGAGCGTTTACAATGGAGCAGGCAGTTTATGTGCCAACACTCCCATGCAGAAAATGGTGTCAATCCAGAAGCAGACTTCGCTGTCGGCACAATATTAACCAACAGTGAGGGAAAATACTATCTTCTTGTTTAGCTTATTCATTTACACTACAAAGACCTTTCAAAATCCATTCACACTAGGACACCTCCCAGCAATAACGCTACACTCCTCCCCGCTTCCTCTTATATTCCTGCTCTACGCCCTTTTAGTTGTGGAGAAATAACGATCTTGAATTATTTAGAAGAATTTTTCTAGCTGACAGGGCTGTTCTGAGCGACATAAACCAGTAAGAGTGTTTCTGCTACTTATGTAGAGGACTCCTTAGTCAAAGGCCTCCCACCTCGGGAGAGATACAAAGGCACCGATTCCATAGGAGCTGCAGGCATGAGCACACGAGCATCGGTGATCTTTCCAAAGTTGCAGTGATATGCTTAGCCCTAAGACCCTTCCATCCTGAGGCAGTGCAGTTCTACGTGCACTGGACTGATGTTCTCAAAAAGGGATAGATACCCCCTGCATACCCGGAAAATTTTGTGCATCCTCATCGTGGCCGAACAGAAGATAAATCTCGTTAGAAGCAAGCGAAGAAACTCATCCCCAAAAAACTGAAGAAAGGACTGATCTGTAGAGAAGGCAGAGAAAACGCAGTTCAGAAAGGCTTAAAAAATGAAAAACACCCAAACAAACACTCCCCTTATTCGCTGCTCTATGCCCTGGAAAGGCTGAGCAAGAGAAGACAGCATCCGCTCAAGTAGCGCGCTGAGGCTCAGTCGCGCATCTTTAAGAAGGTACCTATGGACCGGGAGTGGGTCAGCAGCTGGGCAATATCTCGGTTGATTTTCCTCAGGTAATCTTGACACTTCTCCCACAATCCTCTGCGCATGCTTGACAATCCAGAGACAAAGAGGAACGCCATTAACGGATTGTTCAGAAAGAGCGTGAAGAGGCTACCCCGCTGAGACTGATCTAAAAAAAAATGAAATGAAAAAAATCAATCGACAAAGAGAGACACTTGGCACACGAAACAAAAAGCTGTGCTGCCACAGAATGAAGTTGCTCACCCCCTAAATTCTGTAACAGAGGAACTGAGTTAGTTACACCTTCCCTCCTCTTGGGGCAGATCTGTTCCCAGGATGATGCAACGACTTTACTGGAGACGCGCATCAACGCCAGGAGAAACGAGATGTTCTCACAAACCGTGGGAGGCCTATTTCTTGTTTTGAGTACCTAACTTGAACTCAAAAGTCGTAACTGAAACAACTGCAGAATATAACGTTTCGCTGCCTGTTCCTACTATAAACACACCTTCTCAGGACAGAGGAAGCCAGCCGTTTTCCTTAACTTACCCTCCCAAATCAACAAGACCTGAGATCTTGCTCCACCCCAGCATTTAAAAGCTGATACCTCAACCGACTCTGCTCACTTTCTGGGACTAATAAAGCTACCCAAAGTGCTAATCATCATCATCATCATCATCATCCCAGCACTGGGCTGACAATTTTCTGAGTCTCCACGTAGGAGACTTTGCCTCCTAGCACTTGTTGCAGCTATCTGTAGAAATATCATCGTTAGAATTAATTGCCATAAACAGTAACTAAACTTTGTCATACTACTTCAGGCGGTGTCAATCAGACTTAGGGTTTACGCAGTGACAAAAAGCTATCTTTTCCTGAAGAATCCAAGTTATATTTGTTTGGGACAGATATATGATGCGACTGCAACCTGTTAGGAAACACAATACTACACATACCTTGTAACGCTTTTGGATATGCTGTTGGAGAAAGCAAGCACACCAATGGTTGTCCAAATAAGTTTGTGAAATTCTGGAACAGATAAGAATTTTGAAGTATTGATGGTCACTTTGCTTGCTTTTTAATATTCCACAGGTTAAGGGTACAAACAAAGACTATGAATGGCAGAGCGCACAAATGCCCACTACCCGGATCAGCACTGGCAGTAAAGCTTACAAGTTGACTTTACTCAGAGATCACAGCACAGAAGCAATATAACCCATTACATTTTAAAGGGATTATAATTTCGCTGCTACTGACAGCAGACACTAATTTCATGGAAATATGGCTTTCAGTACGTTACTTAAAAAATCATGTTCTGCTGTAACAGTGAAAGCCATTTGCTTTCAGGTCAAAACAGATCTAGCATCTTTCCTCAGGACCAGCTGAGCTACCCAAAGTCATTTCCTTCCCCTTTTCTTTCTAGCAGGAGGAACAATTTCTGATGAAACAGAAGAGCCCAGTGGAGAAAAAAGTCTTAAAACCAGTTTCCTTGAAAGCAACCTTAACATCTGCTACACTGAACCCTCATTTCACAATACTCATTTCATGCACCTTCCACCAGCACCTAAAATATTGCCTAAGTGTCCTGCTGCACAGGAATTTCTCCGGAAATCTCAAACAATGTTGTTGTCTAGTTCCACCAACATTTACCTGATAAGAGTCCTACCGTGTAACTGTCTGGAGGGCATACTGATTGGCAATAACTGTCACCAAGGAAAGAAAAAGTCATTTACTCCTCATTAGCTGTCATATGTGTCACAAAAGCAGCTTTCTCACAAAAGCCATAGAAAATACAAACAATCACGTCTGCACCGTGTCAGAGCCCACAACCAAAGCACGCATCCGGAGCCCGCGAGTGCAACACACGCCTGCAGATTATATTCTTAAAATTGGCAAGTTACGACTGTAAGGTACACATCACCAGAAGTATTTGCTTGTGTAGGATCATCAAAAAGCTCGTTTTTTAATTCCTTCTGGCTTCTGCTTAATTCAAATGGGGCTTTCCCTTCTGGGCAGTACATTTCAAATAAATTAGTTTCACTGAATTAATTGAATCTAAATCTGCTAAATACCGACGACAGTAATCTAGTCTAATCAAAAGAAAATACGTCCCATATCTGACAGTGCTGACTAGTCCCAAACCCCCTCCTATCTCATGAAGAGCCCAAGGGAGACAAGGACTGCTACCCTGAAGCCAGTAAGTGCAGGCCAGCCGAGGAATTGCTGAAACCATACTATAAAGAAACATTTCACGCTTCAGGAGGAGTCACCCCAGACACGGCGAGGTGGCAGCGCGTGCCCCCCAGCGGGTTACAGGTTCTCAGGTAACACCTATGAGCAGATTCACACGTTGAATTCTATTCCGTATCACCCAGTTAGAGCCCAAAACAGACTGCCCCTACGCCCCATCAGTAAAAATGGCCACGCAATTAAACACTGCCTACAGCTATAAAGCAAACCCAGAGGTCACTCGTGTATCTCAGCAAAGGTGTTACTCACTGACAGTATCGGAGCCCATTCTGGACTCTGTCCCAGCAGAGGTTCAGCCAACACAGCCAGTCAGTCTCGCACCGGGCAGAAACGACACAGAACGTGCCCTTTGGAAGGGCTGCTCAGGCCGGTCGCTAGAGCTGAACTATAGGTCCCGCAGGAGGCTCTCAAGCTTCCAGGTACCTGTCCCAGCTCTCACCCAGGCACAAGCGCCCGCCACGGCCCACGCAAACCCCCGGATTCACTCACCACCACCCCCTCCACGCCCGATTTCCGCAGAGCAGCGCTGGGGCACACGGGAGCCTGGGACAGCCACGGCTTGGAGCGGAGACCCACCGGGTGCTCCAGGAAAACCTGCCCTGCAGCAGAGATATTGGCAGCAGCTCTGGGTAAGGAGCGCCCTACCTTTCAGTGCATGGACAACTCCAGAAAGGGTACACCACAGTTTTGTGTCAAATTGACTCTATTTTTTCAAGTTTTCCGATAGGAGCATTGCTGCTTTTTAAAATGCATGTCATATACATCGCTTTCCAAAAAAATGAACTACCCATCATCTGCAAAAGAAATCACTTCACATACAAGCTTTCCTAAGCTCAGTATTTATACCACATCACTGACAAAAGTGCTGCATTTTTTTGGGCTGGAGTTTTTGTTTTGTTTTGGGGGTTTTTTTAAGACTTTGCATTTGACCATAATCTTAGGCAACCACTGCTACAAGAAGACACTGATTTAAAAATATTATTTCATCCACAAATACAGCAGTAACCTTCAAGAACACTGCTGTCTATATTTAAATAGAAGTGTTTAAAAAAAAAAAAAAAAGAAGTCATGGCTTTAAGTAGATACACTCAGTTTGCAGTTATCTTCCACTTTCAGCTAAATATATAGGGGAGGAAGCTGTTCAAGTGCTGCTGATTTGACAAACTGGCAAGTCACTTCCTGGCAGGACTTACTTTCAGTCTTCACCATACAAGCCCTCCAGAGAGAGGGAGGGGTGAGAATGTGTGCAGAGGAGCTGCAGAAGAAGATGTGTGAGCAGTTGCTGTTACTGCCAGTGCTGCGAGCAGTGACATTTAAATGTCAGGATAGCTACTGTCCGATCGGAATGGATCGGAGCAGCCAGGCGGAAAAAAGCCAGTAGCTGACCTCAACTTCTCACACAACAGCACAGAACCTCTTTTGTTTGTGCGGTGCTCGAGTCTACAAAGCATCTCGCCTCGCGCTCAGAGGACGGGCACAGGACAGCCCTATCAGTACACGCAGGCGACAGGGAACCAAGCACGTAAGCTCGTGCAGAACAGCGACAGACAAGAACTCACACGGGCTAGAAAGCAGCGAGATTGAGAGCTCTGCCATCTACCTTCAGCTGAAAACAAGGCAGAACACCTAAACTCATCCTCACACACCTATCTGCTTGGACCAATGGCAACAGGTTGTGAAGGTCAACATGAGCTCTCAAATATAATTTTTTTTTAAAAAGGGGTCCATGTTTGCTTTGGTGGGTTTTTTTCTTTCTTCATTTTGTTTTTAGATTCCTCACAACTGTGCCCACACAACTCTGATCTGGGTCAGAGCTCCTAGCAGCCACTTCCATAATCGTGTCCTGAAATACTTTCAAAACCTCACACTTCTATACTCCTTGTGTACCAGCAGAATTGGGGTTACCTCACACCAGCTGCTCCGTGTGCCTCACAGAGCACTGGCCTATTTCACATGACTGATGGTCAGCTCGCTGCAGAACGAGGAAAGGAAACTAAACGCAGGTTACAGTTTCTGCTTATTATGTGCCCACAAAATCCAAAGAAAATCCAATTATCAAATTTAAATGAAATACAAAAAGCAAATTCTATGGTAAACACGCAACAGTTATTCTTCCAAGAGGTACAGATCTACATGTGGGATCCATCCCCTCAGAAAGATCCTTTGCTCTAAGCTGTCCACACAACCCTGGGATGTCCAAGAGCTGTATTTGAGTTAAGGATCACCAGGAATCCCTTACTCTCTCTTACAGACCTGACCCACTCGATATCTTTCAGCAGTTCTACTGGAGAGGAAGAGGGTATAAAAATCAAACCCAAACAAAAAACCAAACCCAAGACACACTTTTTCCCCTGAAGAAAAACCCAGTGGTGCTGTTGTTGTACTGGAATGAATGTCAAGAAAGAACAGGGGAAAATAAACCTCTGCCAAATCCTCATTTTCTCAGAAAGACAAGTAAATCATTCCAATTGTGTTTCCTTCCCTTTAAATGGGCAAGGGAATTTAATAAAAAGCAGATTTGCCTTGAAATCTCTTGTGGTGAAGTTAAACGCAGTAGTGTTTTAAAAAAGCCCTTTGAAATGCTCTAAAATCCAACAAGCCAGAAACCTTATCTAGAGGCCAGATTGCTATTAAGACTGTCAGGTAAAAGCTCCAATACAGAACTACTCCGAATCATACTCAGCACTGGTTTAGTACCTCTCGTCACCCAACTAATGCCTTTAGAACAAATGACAGACTGGGGACACTAAGCCTGGCACAAGTTCATCCGGCCACTAGACGTCCCTGTTCCTCCTCCAAAAGGCAGCTATGAAAATTCACTTTTCTCCCTGTGCGTCACGCAGCTATAAAAAGGGAGACAAGAAGGAAGTGGCACTTTCTCCATATACAGCACATTCTTAATATCCCTTTCATGAATGAAAGCAGCGTGACCACGCTATCCAGACTGAGCGGGCGGCTGAGACGGGAGATGCCTGCTTCTGTTTTACCCGAGCGGTGGGGTCCCGAACGTGGTTTGGCAGGCAGTAATGCTACTGTATGTCCACAGCACCCTAGGAGGGAGGCTCACTGTCCAAGCATATACCCCTCTGCTGTAACATGGGATGCTAATTTGAGTCTTGTTATTTCCTCGGTTACTTTTCAGACACAGACACCCCATGTTTTATAAGATCAGGCTCAATGCTTTGACTCGTTTCTACCGCTTAAAAGCGACTGAGTGTTGGACGACTGGAAAAAAAAAGAGCAGATTAGTTATCTCCCTCCCCCATGCACACACACCGAGATATGTCTTTGGTATATAACAAAAATAAACCTCCCACCAGAGACCTTGGAAATCTTGAACCTTTTTTCCCTCCAGGAGGATTTATTACTTTCCAATGAGCGGCTGTTCATGTGCTTCTCCTTCTTGTTCCTATTCATAGGATCAGATCCTGACTAGCATGCACAACCTCAAAAGAAAAGAAAGACTGAATACAAACTGTTTAAAAAAAATAGCCTGTTAAAAGTGTGAGCTAACTAGGGGTGACACTGCATCCTATCGTACCAGGAGCTGCCTTCAAGCACCTTACCTTATAGGCGACACTGTTTGAAGAGTCCACAATGATAAACAGAGGCTTTCTTGTGAAAGGGTAGAGATCTCCAGGGTGAAGACTGAAAAGAGAAAGGGACGCTTCACAGAGCACTGGCCTTGCTGCAAAGCCGTGACGGCGCACAACTTTCTCAGACACACAGGTGCCCGCGTCCAGACAGAAAGCTGCCAGGTTCCCCACGCCCCAGTCCTCAGACTCACCCGCAGAGAGTACCTGCAAAACTAATTTGGTATTCTCTGTAAAATGGGCTGCTGGACTTCTTGTTAGTTCTTTCCCAAGAAGAGATGTTTCTCTTCTCGAGAAGTCATCCTCCAGTAATCTGAAGTTTTCCAGTAATAAAGAATTTATGTTAGGTCACAGCAGTACTTCTTGAGGACCTTAAATCATCCTTTAGAGTCGTCCAGCTCCAAGCCAATCCACATTACAATGGCTTACACCTAAGAGTTTGTATTCAAGAGGCTTTGATGCGCTTTTCTCCATTAAAGACAAATTCTTCTGAATTTGCAGTCGTCACGCTCCTGAGACTTACCAGTGCATCTCCTTGTAAGATTGGTTTCGCTTGTGGATAGCATCCCCATTTATAATGTCCCGGTTGCTATTTGTCAGAACACCACCAAAATCATACGGACCTACACGGGGCAAAGAGAAAGCAAAAGTCAGCGGAGCCAGCTCACCTCTGTTATGGACTTAGCGATGCTATGGAAGGGAGCAAACAACCACAAAACCCAGAGAATGAAATGAATCGGAACTGCTGCGGTGGTAAGGAGAGGACGGAGGAATGTGGAGACTTTGCTAACTACGTATTCAATTTTATGCATTTTTTGTAGTTTCAGCATCTATCAAATAGAAGTAAGCGACATGTCATTGTCACTTCTATTTAACCACAAACATAATGCAGGAGATCCAGATATTGGCTCTTGTAACACTACATAGCAAAAACATTAAAACTCATTACACATTTCATACAGGAAATCAGTAACTTTGTAAAATTCCTATAGAAGCTAGCACATTTTAGATTTGGATTTGGTCAAAAATTAAGGCTAAATCAATCAAAAAGCCTATAGCTTCACACAACAGACATAATACTATCATCTGCAGTTAAAACACTGCAAAGGGGAGATGACAGAGCTCAGAGAATGACTAAGATTCCCATGCCCCTAAAAAGAGAAAAACAGCCTTAACCAGATTTCAAATCTGCAGCAAAGGTTTGGGGTTTTGTTTTGGTTTTTTAAGATTTTTGCATGCACACACCCTGGACACGTGCTCCAAAGGTAAGCTAAAGAAATATTCGGCCAGATTTGCACAGCTGAGCTACCTGCCTAACTGTCTGATGGAGAGCAAAGATGAAAGTGATGCCTATAAAATGTATCAAAACTTGTACCAAAAAGAAATGTGCTAGAGATACCAGGACATATTTCCACCACTGATATGGGTATGAAACGTCACTAATGTTAGTAAAATGAAGTATTAGGGTCTCCTCATTCTGTTGCAGAGTTCGTTGACCCATACTTGGCCACCAAATGCAATTTTTTCCATTTGGATCCACTTTTCCATTTTAAGGGAAGCTTTGGGAACACGGTGTTAGGGACGGAGCAGACATTAATTGAGCACCGTTACAAGTGTCTCACACGGTCTGTCAAACACGAATGGCTGGCAGGCGATAAACACTGCAACTTGCAGCTGCTCTCCCTTTCAGTAAGGTAGAACTTTTCAGTCCGTGCAGACAGCGCTACCTTATTGAAAGAACGCAGTTGTAATGGGATTCGTTTAAGGAAAACTGCAGTCTGACTCTGCAGCTCTTCAGATGACAGAGCTTGGATGCCTCTACAGTAAGGTATTAAGCTGAAACAACACATGCAGTGAAGTGGACATATCGCAGGCTTTAAAGAACATGGTTTCGTTAGAACGTATCACCAAGTTGCAGCAAAAAGTAAAATATTAAAGGTGTTTAAAAAAAAAAAATCACTGCCATGATCCAAAGCTGACAGGGATTTTTTTTTCCTTTAACATTTTGAGAGCTCTATAAATCATGCACTGTGATGGACAAGGCATGCATCGTATAAAGGAATGCAAGTCTCAAACAAATGAGGTGTGTACAATAGTTAGGATGTTAATTTTGGTTTGTTTTTTTTTTCCTTAAATTATACAAACAGAACTTTTGACTGTGTTTACTTCAGCCAACCAGTTGTCAGCTTTTAGATTGCAGCGGAATCCAAATATTCTGCTACTTTGCAAAGAACAGGAGGATGAGGTGAGGGGAAATTGTCAAAAATCATGAGAAGGGCTTGAATTGTCAGGTTAACAAGCGTGCAAACAGAACGGTCCCTGGAGACGCTTCAGCCCTTTTACCACTCATCTCTCGGCCAGATGTTCTCACAGTACTGGAGATTGGAAAGAATCACAAAGTGCCATTTATCCATTTTATTAACTTCGTACTGATGCATCAACTGAGCCACGTGGTCTTCCAAATTGGTGAAGCTTTTAATGATGAAGATTTTAATACTTCAGATGCATCAAAAACTGGGTTTGTCCTTTGAAAGGGTCTCAGGTTAACGCACACTAATTAAAGCACAGGGAATTAACTATTGTTTGTTGAAATAAAAAGCTATCTTACTAAGTAGAGAGGAGAATAAAATTGACTTGTCATTTAAAAGGAGCTTTGTGACATCTTTCTTGGTCACTTGTCCTGGAACATAAAGAGAATTCAAGCCCTGTTCATGACAGGGAGCATTCCTTTATTGTACCTTCACTATCCGAACGACCTGATGGAAACACGCCCGTGGCAGACAAGTAAATCAGCAGTACGCTGTTTGCAGGCAGCTCCTGAAAGTAAAAGAAAGAGAAGAGTGGCAAGGGAAGAAAAGTCTGAGTCTATTTTAACAGTCAGTCATCACCTTCATAAATACATTGTCATTTCAGATTGTGTTATTCCTGCTTCTGGCTTCCCTTCCCTCTGTACTTCACGTATGTCCGCACTCCTTCCCCCTTCCAACAGGTGACTACACAGACAAAAATGTAAACCAATGATACATTCACACTTTCTTGTTTTTTCCTCTCCACACAGACCTCTGTGCTGATACTAGAGGTTCATGAGCATCAGAAAAGCCTCTGCTTCCACACAGGCTCTCTTGCTGTCCAGCCAGGTGCGAGGCTTCCCACGATACACGACCCAAAGCTGCCGAGACCCACGCAGGCCCTAACTCCCAAACCAGTCAGGATCCTTAAGGGAGTTCTTTGCTTCCCAACGCCCCAGAGTCTGCAACACCTGCTTCTTCCCCCGACCCTTCTCAGCAGCACAACAAGCACAACACATCCAGGTTTCTGTATGCACCTGCAAAAGAAATCTGTTTCCCACCGTTCCAACGGGCTGCCTGCATGAGGAACAGCAGCTTTTACTTTCTGCGAGAGGCTGAGCACCCAGGCACCCACGGCTCTTAAGTAGTAAGGATGCACTTTCTTCACCTCACCAGCTCTTTCTTTACAGCTGTTTCTCAAAACAAACTGAAACCTGTTTCTTTATAGGATATTCTGCTTTCACTACTAAATGTCAAGTTGCTGACTTGCACACGCATAACGTGCCTGGCAATTTTTACTAAACTAAAATTAGCACAGCAACTGTATTTAAATAAAGCCTAGAAATGTACACATTACTTCCATGGCAGAGAGCAGTGGGTAACAAAATAAGATAGGCAGATAAAAATGTAGCATGTGCAGAGAGAGACAGGATTCACAGCAGGTATAGAACTGAAGACCTAGCAGGTACACAGTGCTTAGAGCAACAGTCCTCAACATACTTCCTTGATTTTGGATTGTGTTTGGCACAGCATGAAGAAGATGAACACTCTTAAGACTTTTCTGTTCTCCAGATCTCTTTTCTCAAGAAATATTTCCTATATTATATATATAGGAAATAAACTTTATATGGGAAACACTTATTTTTATATATAGTCTGCTTATGTAAATATAAGTGTCTATATATGTGTGTGTACCTACACACACACAAATAAAATCAGTGGAAAAGATTAAATGTGCGTTTGTCTTAAAATGAATTTCTTCTTTCCCTTAACAGATGTCAACAAATTTGCCTTTATTATAAAAATGACATGTATTTATAATATTTCCATCCTCTCTGAAGGTCATGCTGAGCATTTTAAGGTGGCCAAAAAGGCTTCATTACCTTGAAGTATAAAAGATTATCTCAAGCGCCTTTCATTCAGTGTCACATACCATCCTGGATATTTTCCTATTACAAATAAATTCACCAATTTTACAAACCTTAAATGATGCTGCTAAAAATGTATATAGCTGGCTAAAAGTTGGTTTATAAAGTAGGTATTTGTGGGGATTCTCCCTCCTGGCTGGTTTCTCTGTCGACTCCTATTAAAAGAAAACCAACAAACAAAACACAATACACAAACACTGACAACCAGATATTACAAAAGCAGTTTCATAACCCCCTATATTTCTATTTCTTAGAATACCCATTGTTAATGTGCTTCCCACACAAATGGTCTGCCCATGCTGCATTCCCTACTGCCCAGTAAAGCAAGATGCACAGCATTTGAATCAGAACTTCGTATTATCCTTCATTTAAACGCGACCTAAATCTTTCCTACTCTCTGAAGCATCACCCAAGAAAAGTGAAAACATTCACTCCTACCTCAGTTAAATAAATGGAAATCTATGTATTCCCTTTTGCCTTCAGATAAAACATGGTTTTATGCTGTCTCTGAAGGGGATATTTAACATTCAGATGACTGAGCAAGCTGATGAACTTGTCGGGCAGAATAACCACTGGAGTGAACACAAGGGAAGGGCTGATGTCCATGGCTGAGGCCGGGCCCAGCATTGCTTCTCAAGTGCCTCGGCTAGGGCACGGAAACCATTGGTGAAACGACGCCTAAACACTTGTTTCTGCTGTTTCTTGTTTGCTTTAGAAGCTGCTCTGCACGCTGACAACACTGAAGGAGCACACCATCTAAACCAACCCAGAAAAACTTGAGGTGTGCTGCCAGGTTGGGCACTGCAATGCGACTCACCTGCATTCCAGGCTTGTTCATTTGCGACGCTAAATTCATTGGTTCCCTTTCAAGGGCTTGTAGCATTCGGAACATATCAATTGTTAATTCACTGAACTTGACCTGCAAGAGAGTCAAACAGTTTATTCTGCCAGTCACAGATTAAAGAGCATTTCTTTGGAATTATCCAGGTAAGAGATTCAAGTGCACACCAGATAGACCATTTTCTGTCTCTCAGGGATCTGTCAGTGTTATCTCTGAATCTCTAAACACTTGTGATTGACTTTTAGAAGTCCTCACAGAGAACAAAGTCTATTTATTACTGGTCTACCAGGTGCAGACCCCTGCTTTGCGAATTACAGACTCTTCTGAGGTGTTTACAAATCAGGTGCTGATATCACTATATACTATGAATTCAGACGAAATCTGAAAAAGATCCTCAAACTCTGGTTTAGCTACAGCTCCCTTGCTTACCTGAAAAAAAAAGAGCTCAGAGAGAAGGCATGAAGTCTGTACAACTTCACTATCACCATCATCTAAAACCAGAGATGCTGAATGCCTTTTGAGAGCCCTTTCCTGCTGCAACAAGCTGGAGCATGTCATATGAAAGCCCAAGTCAAGCTTTTCCTAGACATATCCCAGAGACCTCTCACAATGGAATGTTGTTATGAACAATCCAGTATATGAAAATCAATTGTATCTACTTAATTGACACGATGAATATAAGCAGTAAGAGGTCAGTTACCACAGGTCTAATATCTAACACTTCACTTTTAGCTCTTATTTCTGAGAATCTCTTCTTCTTGCTTCCACTGCAAACATTATAATCAAGATATTTTAATGTTTGCCTCTACTGGAGTCACTGCGGTATGATCAGAAGGGACAGCACAGGGGGAAGGACTCTGAACTCCAAAGATACAAACCCAAGTCTCCGGAATTGCTTTTACCTGGTTGTTGCAGTTCCCAATAATCAGCGCATCTGCAAGAGCAAGCTGTCCCACTATCATTCCCTGCTCTAGCAACGGAGCTCCAGTTTCAGAAAGCCTGTTAGAGGTGATCACAATGGTGTTGTCATCATTTAAAACCATGACAGGGTCTGCCTAAAAAGAGCAACCAGAATAGAACAGGAATTCAAGAAAAATACAGATTTGCGGAGAGAAGTCCAAAGGTTTTGCCACTTACAGTAAACATTTCGGAACTGAGACAGATTTTTTAAATTAATTTGCCATACATACATTTCTATGTGGGCTACAGGGTGAGGCCTTACCACTTAGAAAAGCAACAGCACTTACGGACCACAAACAAGCACACGGGACAAGCACATGAAGGTAGAGAAGAGAAAACGACCCTTCCTTAAATGACAGGAACTCTGCTTCAGCTTTTCTATACCTGAGGAACCCAATGTCATCAACCGCCTTCCAAATTCACAAAAAATAAACCAAACGTTCCTACAACAGAGAAGAACCCTGCACTACTTCAGTTTGCCTTCCCTTCCTAGAAATAAATAGCGGAGGAGATGAGCAAGTGGTAACGCTGCCATCCATTCTGGCAATATTTAAATGCCCTGTTACATACTGACATCTTGTACAAAAGAAAGAAAGTAGAGCATTGTCTCATCTGACAGAATAAAAAAAAATTATTTTCCTTTTAACAAACTGTAGAAGCTGGTCGCTTTACAACTATGCTAAGAGCTCCTCAGTTAACCGCTATGCTTACACTTTATTTCCCATTATACACTGCTGGTGGAACAGCCTGGTACTCTAACAAAGCACACTTGGAACCAAACAAAACATCAGCACACGGGATTGGCTGCTACAACTACAGAATCCGTGTATAAAATATCGACCACGATAACTGCTGGGCTTTCAATTCCACCATTTTCTCAACACCAAGAGTAAAACCAATCAGGTGATCAAGGGCATTTCAGCTTTGTGCTTGTGTCTTCAGTTGGTTCCATGACCAAGCCTGACTCTTCAGACACTAGTGGCTGTCACCGTTACGCTACAGTGAACACGTCAGTGATCAAAGGGGACAGGAATCCTGTCCCTGCACGTGGCACACCTGCTCATCCCACAGAGGTGGCAACACAGGAACACTTCAGTGAACAAGTCAGAAAATTTTACTTTTGAATGAATGACTAAAAGGAAATGGTATTCTCACCTCAATAAATGCTGCCACTTCCTGAAGAACCAGGTTCCACTCCACCTGATCCTCAGTATTGAAACGATGAGTGTAGTCTTCAATTTCATCTGACAGCTCCTGATGTAAAAAGTTCAAAAGACAGACATTAGTTCTTTCTTAAACTCGAGAGCTTAGCAGGCAGTCAGCAACTTTATAATTTGGTTAGCTGCATTGCCCTTTAAGAAAAATAAAAGAAAAAAATTTACTTGAGAACATATGCAGCACGCTTATGACTAACATGCCAGCCAAAACGCGCTCTTTCAGGAGATAGAATGCCAACGCTGCAAGGAGTTTTGGCAATGCGAAGCGCCTCTTAAGCAGGTCCAAATGCAAAGAATATCTGGAGTTAAGTATAACTACCCCACTCCCATACAGCTATGTCACTGGTTATTGCCATAAGCTATGGATACCAAGGACTGAAATTTCAGCTTCAAGTAACTTTAAAAACATTGAGGCAGTGAATGGTGTGGGCTTTTTTAGCTGCTACTAAGCTAAGCCAGCAGTTCAAGGAAGCGTAGACACAAAGACAGTAATGCAACCTACACAAACCTGGCAACAGCAGAAGGTGCCTGCAGGAAGGTTTGGGGAGGGCTGGGAAGCATATGCTGTCAGGAGCAGCATGCCATGCCGCTCCCTCGCTGTGCTCAGGCACCTCCCCACAGCCAGGCTGCAGCTCTCCGAGTATTTTCACTTGGTGTTCAGACAAGGCTATCAAATCCCTTGAGCTTACAGTGTCATTAAATGTGTGACTGGCAGAAGAGATTCACCGTGTCGGACGTCAGGTAACACCAGAAAAGCAACGATCAGCGGTGGCCTTTAGCTGCTGTACCCGAAGGCTTGTGTTTGCAGCATTCAGCGCTTTGCTCCCACGGAAGAGGCTTATGCAAATCCAGCCTCTCCAGTGGCACAGTAATACCTACACCATTTAGCAAGGTTTAATTCTGATGGGTCTCTGGAAGGTGCAAAACGTATTCAGGATGTGTTCTAGACATGGGACAGAGCAATAGCAGTTTGGAAGGGAAGAGAAATGAGCTCAGTATCAAGCCAGGAGGCACTGGCTTTCCGAGCAACACTGTGCCAGGAAGACTTGCTGGGGGAGATTCCACTGATGTCTTAAATTCACTCCAGGAATGAAGGTGTACTCAGGGTTATCGGATGGTGCCCACATTTTCAGATTAATAAAATGCATCAATCATTACAGTTTATTCCAAACTATACAATTTTTTAAACTTTTTCTGTAGCCAAACATTCACACCATAACGAGTCTTTCCACAGCTCTGGCCATGTTATTCCTTCCTTCTGTGACATCCAACAACACAATCAAATGAGGAGGGGGGGAAAGAAAAAAAAGATATGCGATGCTGCAGCAGCTAACAACATAGATCTAATGAGTGATATTTGAACTGAAATAGATACTAGGCATTCCTTAATCAGGAGAAAAGCCCTGAACACCCATCAATCTCCCAGCCCTTAGCACCTTTATCCTCGTTTTGACATACCTTTACAAGGTCCTTTACAACATCCATTTTGTTGAGCAAGAGACAAACCACTATAAACCTTGCATAGTAACGCAGCTTCTTAACCACTAATTCAGGCCTAAACACAACAACAACAAAAAAACACCACAGTCAAGTTTGAGATTAAAACAGAACACAGGCAGGCAACAGGGGTAAGGGAGAGGAGGAGCTTAAGACCAGGGCAAGGCTGAACACTCCACAGATTGAGCTCTAACTGAATTCATATGGAGATCAACAGCTACCCAGCTCCTTTGAAAACTGGGTACAGGGACATAAAACATACATTAAGAAAGCCACAGCCTCCCCCTTCTCCTTACACTAGAACAGTCTCATAGAATTGCTGGCTCTTCAACGCATTTAACAGTTCATGGGCACATGATAATCACAGCTGGCTCGGAGTTCATCCACCTGGTACAACTCCAAGATCTGCAAGTCGGCATGGCCCATAATTACTCAGCCATTTCTGAAATCTCTGAGAGCATCTAGAAGCATGTTTGGTCAATCCTACCTTGCCTGAAACAGCTCAAGCACTCAAACTGAGAGACTTTTAAGAGAATACATTCAACAGGTATGAGAAAAGAACAAGGAAGCAGCATTCTAGGTCCCAGCACTGATACGGCTCAGGACTCAAAATGACAAAACTTTGGGGCTAGTAGCTTTCTAGCCAGGACCAGACAACAGAACAGTCCTCCGCTCACACAGCAAAGCTCTTATTTACACTGAAGTTTTACTTATGGCAGGAGGACTGAAAGAAACTTCCTTCAACAACACTGATTTTATCCCAGCTATGCTCCCACAGCTCGCAGTTGTTTGCTGCTTTCGTACCTTGTTCTAGTCTTGAAAAACCAAAGGCATTCATTCAGACATACCTGTCCTCTTTGTTGACCTGGGAGTAGTAGGACCTCTGCCTAATTGCTGAATAGAAGGAGAAAGCTTCATTGAGATAGCTGGTTTCTGAAGTGCGCAAGCTGCAGAGGAAGAATCAGATTAGCTCACTGCTTCAGATGGAAACCCTCGCCAAACCCTCCCTCCCTGCCCCCTCAGTCATCCTGTGCACCAATGGCAAAACTCCCTCCTGAGTAACATCACACAAAAGCCAGACTCTCATTCTTTGTGCCTGCTGGGAAGACAGATTTCAGAGCTTGCATTCCTTTCCAGATAACAATCAAATCTGCCCATCTCGTGCCCATATGTACAGGTGACAGGTTAATTGAAAAGTCTGAAGGAACATTTAAGGTCTCAAACTTGTAACAATCACATGTTATTGCACAAGAGCCAAATGGAACACACGTTGAGACGCTTTCGAGGAAGGAGGTAAGTCCTGAGGAAGCACCAATGGGCCCAGCGATGTGGTACCGGGCTCCTAGGTGCTTTTCTCTGCGGCACCCCCACGCAGTCCCAAGGGCCTTCTCTTTCAGAAACAGGCACCGTGACTCAGCCAACACATTGATTTCTCCCGACTGAGCATCCAGATGTTTGGCATGGAGCTGCCGCTAACACCGTATTCCCTTAATGAATCCTTTTCTGTGCTTACTTACTAATAATGGTAATAGAGCTGCCCAATCTTGGAAGCAATTTCCCCAATTTGCCACCGCTTCAACCCATACCGATTGTCCAATACTTGTCTATTTCGCAAGAGAGAAAAGAAAGATTAAAAGGCATTCCAGAACTTTTCAGAACATCACACCAGACAAGACAAAGAGCCACGATAAGGCCAAATTCAGCTTTCGTTAACTGGTGAGGCGTTCCCAGTAGCAGTCCCTCACGGGTCAAGAGCACTGCTTATGCACACCAGAACAAGAACTATTTGTCCTGCACAGACTTGCGAGAGCTAGACATAAGTATGTTGCACAAAATACACACAACAAAAGGTCACAACTTCCCAAGAGAACACTCAGACTGCGCAGCCACTGGAAGGTGTGAAAGATCAGAGCCCACGCTGCAGCAAGACGCTTCACACCCTTCCAGATGGGTTCTGCACTGCAGAAGCCATCGTCCCAGCTTCTCCTCGGTGATCTATTAAAGCAACGTGCACTCAAATAAAGAAAAAGGGTTTTGGGGAAAAAAAGTCACACTGGAAACTCCGCAACATTTTAATTCATTAGACTGCGAGCACTGCGAAAGCGACTGTGCCCTCCCTTCACGCTTCAATAGCACAGGGAAATCTCAATATTAAGTGCAGGCCTAGGCACACCCAGACATGAAAGCTGCACTTAAGCCTACACAACACGACTGCCTACGTTTCCTTACCGATGCTGCTGCTGAAACTTCCAGAGTTTGGTATAAACGTCAAACGTTCGCCCAAAATACGATTGCCACTGCTTTTGCCCGTACTGAGGTAAATCCCTACAATAGAGAAGTGACAAAGACAGAGTTAGGGAGTAGATTCGAGTCAGCCCAGCGTAATGGCAGCGTGTGTGTGTCAGTGGCTGAACAGCTTTGTTCAGAATTGGCTTGAAATGCTGTATAACTCCGCCTGCACCCAAAACTACAAGAACTGTGATTCCTGCGGTTTCACAGAACCTGTCGTTACTGAAGTCTGCAAGGAAATCCTGCTCAGCTTGTGCGTGAGCATCTATCACCAGTCAACGTCCACAATTGTTAACGCCCTACCTGAGAGCACTTGTCCAGCTGCAGACTGACGGTCCCCCTGCGAAACGTGGTATATTCACAATATATTTACGTGGTATTTATTATGAACATATGACACACCGTACACACGGACCCTGTTCTCTCCAGATGTGCCCGGGATCCTGGAATGGCTCCTCCAACACACAGAACAGCAGCAGAGGGAAGCAGAGCTCTCCACGAATGAAGTAACATGAGCCAAGTGACTGGATATGTGCAAAATCTTTGGTATTTATGGACAAACACATTCTAAAGGGCAAAAAGGAATCCACGTCCTCTAACCCCTGTAGACATGCCTTTATCAAGGTTCCTCAATATTAACAGGTTCTCAAAAGCATCAGAAGAGCAGGCCTCCAAATAAGAAATGACCATGTCCCTATGAGCATTTTTCAACAGGTGATTGAAAACTGACTTGCTAAAAAGAAGTAATTTTATGGTTATATACACAGAAAGTTAAACTTGAGGCTTAAAATGTCACAGTTGAAAAAAACCTCAACAAGCTACCCAAGAGCAAGAAGAATAATCTAATAGAAATTAGTTCATTTAGACTAATGTAGACTGATATTACTTCTTAGTCACTAAGGAAATAATCTTTCTATAATGGATGAGGTTGTTCACTGTGTTTCAGAAACAGACCCTGTAAGATCATACATAAATCAGTTGCCTAAATGTCAGCAGGTCAAGCAAGCGCACAGATGCTTGCAGCCAACATCCCCGGGCTCAGGTTACTGCATCCCCACAACATTTGTCACCCTCTAACTCACAGTCAGTGACACGTCCAGACCTGAGACCTTCTGGGTCAGTGCTATCGGGTGAGTTAGTCAATCCAGCTCCGTTCTGCTTTCATACCTCCCCTCGCTGCGATGCCCACGCTGCGATGTACTTCCCCCCACCTGCACCTCACGCCCATGAGGCGGTCCTGAGGATTTTAGCTTTAAAGGTTTGTGCTCTTGATGCTAACAGAAGGCTGTCACCTGCGAGTTCCTTACACCTTGGAACAAATGTGACCAAAGCCCCTCAGTCTTGCTGAGCACGCTGCCCACAAACCTGCACCGAGCCTGACTCAGAGGAGGGACACAGCTCCACAAGTGGAACAGCTTTTTCAAGACGGTGTAGCCCTTCACTTGATTCAAGAATGATTTCTTCAGGGCACATTCCCTGAAATCGCTGTGCTGGTTAGCGTACCACCCAACCCCTCGGTCTTCAGCAGACAGGCGCAAACCCTGCATATTCCACTTCCCAGCCTGGGAGGTCGAGACCGAGGGGAACACAGCCTTTTGGCAGCCACACTCCGGAGGAGTCAGACGAGCGAAGCAGCACACCACGATTTCCAGAGCAGCGTACTGGCGCATTCCTCCTAACTGTAATTACTTTAACAGCACCCTAGGTAGAAAAGGAAATTAATATTCTTTTGCTCATCAGCCAACTGTACTTCCCACACAGCTAGAAGGGACCTAGCTTAGTTACTACATGTAAAATGAATCCGCTGTCAGCTGTGACTCTTACCGCCCTGGAAAACCATGCCAGTACTTGCTGTTATTCTATGAAGATGTCAAGAAACCTGAGCAGGATTTTGAAAAAAAAAAATACAATGAAAAATAAAAATCCCCTAAAACTTGCAATTGGCTGCTCAACATTTTGGAGCAGGAGTATAAACATGTGCTTCAGGGTACCAACATCTTCATCCAAACAGAGCTTAATACAAACACGTGCAAATTTAAAGCATTTACTGCACTGAACGATTCATGGCTTTCTATTGTTGTGATAGATGTAAACATTTTTGCTAAACAAAAGAAGTTAAGAAACTGTCCAAACACACACCTAAGATACATTGCAGGGTTTGACATAGCAAGAGACAGTGTGAAATTTAATTAGCAGATGCAAAAATTTCAATGTTAAAGAAATTAAAATCAAAAGTGAATACAAATACAAAACAATGCTAAATCAAGCATTTAAATAAAAATAATAAAAGTTCCCTGGTACTAACAAAGAATGACTGAATTAGCAAGTTGACTCAGAGAATCCCAACTTCAGCAAAGGCCTAACACAAGGCAATAAGAAAACATATCCCTCTTCTCTTAAACCCTGAGAATTAGGTACGTGCACAAATTCAGAAATAAGCAGGTAACTATTCGCTGGTCACGCTTACACATACGACCCTCACCGGCAAGTACTGCGCTCTTTGTACCTCACCTGTTAGAGAATCATAGACTCATCCAGGCTGGAAAAGCCCCCTTGGGGTCATCGAGTCCAACCATTAACCTGCTCTGCAAAGCTCACCCCGAAGCCATCCCCCCCAACACCACACCTAAACACCTTCCCTCACGCACCTCTGCCACCCCTCGGTGCTGCACCTTCCTCCTCGCGTTCTTGTCAGCCCTAGCTCAACTCACTGCGCTGCACTGGTTCGGGGTATCTGGAATTTAGTGGCATTTTACAAAGCCCCTGTTGGCGCAGCGTCCCCGTGTTTGGCCGCTGCCGTCGCCAGTCACTGCTGGGTGTCCACACGCATATTCCTCCAGCAGCGCGCTCGTCTAATTGCAGCTGGCATCGCTGCACAGCACCACGCGACTCCTCGGCTCCCCGGGGAACAGGAAAGATCTCCATGGAAACAGACAGTAGCACTTGTTCTTTTGATAGTATTCTGACACGGCTGTAATAAAACTTCATTTATGACAAGACATTGCTGTGCTTTCACCGCAGATTTTTGCAGACAAGAGCTGCCATTGCTGCCATCCATTTACTGGTTTGCCTTCGGAACATCACGTACGTTGCTTCCATGTATGAAGAAATTGTGGTGTGAGAGAATGGCTGCTTAAGCAAAAGAGGACATTTAGAGTATTCTTTTTAATTGGACCAGAGGATCTGCATTATTTGGTGAGAAACAGCCCAAAAGAATACTAAGGACTCGACAGACTGCAGAGCGGGTTGTTAATACAGCTCCTCCCACTGAGTGAGACAGGGAATATGGGATCCAGAGGCAATCGCACCCCCAGCTCGAGAGCAAAAGACCTACGTTACAGCAAGACATTTTGCTCCTTCCCGATCTACAGAAGGGCACTAGAGCAACACAAAGACAAAAAAGCACCAGCCTCCACACCCTGCAGGCCGTGGGGCAGCACCAGGGGTACGGGCTCGCGCTGTCAGAGAGGACGATGGGCTGTACAGGAGGGAGGCAGTGGCGGCAAGAAGGAATCCAGATGCAGAGGAGGGAACCGAGGTGATTGGATTTGGGACCGTTCTATCCAGGCAAGGAAGACAGCGACATGCTTCAACAACAAGTGGAACATGTTTCCAATTTCTCGGCTTTTAAACCATTCCAAACCGGACGCAAAGACACAAACTCAGCTGTTCTAGACGGAGGGGTTTTGCACACAGGGCGCAGAAGACTGGTTCCCTTGCCACACTAGAGAGGCTGGTGGATAAATTCCACAGATGGTCCAGAATTTTACCCAATTCTTGCTGTACAGTCTCAGTGAAGACGAGCACTACTTAGGTGCTCATAATGAGTTTTCCGTCAGTAGTTCATTTCAGCCACGCTGTTGGCAGAAACCAGATAATGACGGCTGAAAACCAATTAAAGCGCCAGCACCACATGGCAGTTGTCACACAGGGACAACTTCCAGAGATGTAAAGATGTTGAGAAAGTTCTAGAGACTCAGCGGTACACTTCAGAAAGGGAGGTTACAATAACCCTAGGTTTAACATTCAGAGCTTTAAATACATTCACAGTTTTGACAGCTGATAAAAAAGACAATTTCCTTTTATGTTCATAGGCTTGTAGTAATTACAGGCTCCTATTCCCAGACCTGAAGCAGCAGTGGGATAAGGACGTTATGGAGCTTCCCTACGGCCTCTGATAACGCAGCAGCTTGCCTCCGTGATGCCACTGGAGAGAGGAGCTGGTCCCTGCCCAGCACCAGAGAGGGAACAGCCTGCAGCAGCACCTGAAGCCGACAGTGTCCTGTTGTTTCTAATCAGCAGCAGCAGCACGGAACAAAACGAAGGGGTTCAACTCACATCTTACTGGAAATTTACAAAATCAGTGGTTAAACACTATCACCTCTTCCTGTGAAAGGATGGCAGCTGAGATTCCTGCAGCCTGCACAACGAGCAGCAAGATTGTATAATCTGGGAAAGTGTGATGTATGCAGAAAGTATGTTCATTTCTGAAAGTTCCCAGCTTCTCTGTGATACTGAACACACTTAAGCACTTTTTAACATAAAATGAAGATAGTAATAACTGGTGACAGTACACCATGAAGAACTGCTTCCTAACACACATCCTCTTCCCAGCCTTTTTGCAAGAAAAAAAGCAAGTGGGAGTGGGGAAAGGAGGGAACTGAGCAATTGAAACATATTCTATTGACAGCTGTTTCCAACTTGTAGCTCAGGGTGGTCAGAAAGCGGGTACAGGCACTAGAAAGACAACCTCCCCTCTAAGTTATTCTAGCAGGCGTGGCACAAAAGGATGGTATCGCTGGCAGCGTGAGCACGAAGTACGCTTTGGAGCAGCAACCTTGGCAGATCATCATATGTTTTCCTCAAATGCTGTATTTGGCATCTGTATTGGGAAGAGAGGAAGGAAATGCTACTGAAACAAAGACGTGGCAGGCTGAGCCCTTGCATTTTTGGCAGCAGCGACAGCTAAGCAGCTGCCAGCACAGCTATAGGCTCAGATGCCTGTAGCTGAAGTGCCCGGAGGAGGTTTCAGGAGGAAAATCGTTGCTCTCCTCTCCCCTGTCCATCCTTTCTTTTCCATGAAACACAGCAGGGACAAGACAATGGCAGCAAAGACCATCACCACCTTCAGAAGAGAAGGCGGTAGCACACATCAGATGTGTGTATTACACTGGAGGGGAAAGCAAGCAACTGCACTAAGAGTTCGGAAACCTGCCAAGTCATCTCCAGGTGAACTACGCAGCAGAGAACAAGCACTAACAGAGGAGGTACCTCAAAATGATAATGCTGTTTTATCATAAAATTATATTACTGCTTTATTATGATGCCCATAGGACCAAAGGTCTTAGAGGTGCCATGGTGGTCGAGGTCAGTGCAAGAAGCAATTATGTGAATTGTGTGAAGTTCCAGCAGGGGCAGAGGCAAGCTGCCGTGCAGGATGGTCTTACTGTCACAGCAGCTGAAGCCCCTTTCTCTATTTTTATTGCCTCAATTTCACCCAAAACGTATTTTCCATTTTCTTCTCACCTAACTGGCTAAGGTGGTTTACTTCTTGGCAATGCACCACGGATATACGCAGAAACTGCGCCTCTTGTCTGCAAATCTGATAGAAGCGCTGGCTCCCTCCGTGCCCGAAGGAAAAGACAGAGCTGCAGGTACTCTGCCACCTCTGTGGTCTGACCCTGAGCACCACGCACCCACAGGTGAAGTGTACCAATTCGTACTCTTCAGTGCTGTACCAGGAAGCCAATGTAATGGCATATATGGCCCTGGAAATCCCAGCCTCAAGATCTCAGCCCTTTTGCTTCAGATCGTTGCATGGGGTGTCAAGTGCAACCACCAAGAAGCGCTTGTCTCTGCTGCCCATTTACCATTCAGATTTTGGAACACAAACTGTTTGGTTTGGATTCAGTAATCAACTTCCAAAGCACATGAAAGGATTATCAATAGCGGTGGGCGGGGGGGAAGGTATTAAAACCATCTTTGCTAACCATCTGTGTTTGACTAACAGCAAGTTCTATGGGCCCAAACACAATATTACTCAGAGAGCAGTGAGAGGCTGAACTGCCAACAAGACATGAGCTAAAAACCACGTTGCTTAAGAGACTCTGAAGCAAAGCTTAGAAATAAAACAGCTTTTGCATATATAATCTTTAGCTCAGCATATACTGACGTATGCAGGATGCTTATATTACTGTTCAAATGTGAACTATTTTCCTGGAACTCCTCTTGCTCTTATGCCCCTTCTTACTGGTGCTGACAAAACAGCTAGACTTTCCAGATGTTATTGCAGATGTTTTGTAGATAAACGCAGATTTTACCTTTTTCCGCAGTTCAGATTAAGTATTTCATACACCAGACGCATACAGGCCATGGTTTGGATGTTTCTGCTTATCACTTTTAGGAAGTGGTTTAGGATTTCTTCCCAAAAAATATTCCCTCCTCCCTTTCCTCCCACCTAAGGCAATCCTTCTCATTCTTTTTATTTTGTTTTATTTTTGGTACCAAGACTGTGGAGTTTTGGACTTGCATGCTGTTGACTGTACACAGCCACACCTAGTCCTTAAATTTTGTACTTTATCCACAACATTTCAGTACGAATTCCATTCATTTCACGGAATTTCCAGCTTCTAGTTTACTGTTAACTGACATGGCCATCACATCAGCTCCCCTTTCTCACGTTTCCTTTTCCTACTGTCTCAGAAGAAACGCATGAACCTCCACTCCTACAGACATTCTTACATACACTTTCCAAAACTACCCACCCAGAGGTGCGCATTGCTCTCTCCTGAGCAAACCTCCTGGGTTTGAGTTCAAAATGTTCGCTGCACAACTGACTTCAGCATCACTCACACCAAGTGGATGTTCCAATGCTTTTCTGAGGGAATAGTGTCAAAACCACACTAACCTTAGGCCATTGAATAGCTGTTTAGATTTATCCAGTAAGTAGCAAAAGTCTGTCACCGTTTTTCTCTCTGCTTGGGGAATATCATCTTCAGCTCCTCCTGATGACATGATTTCTTGCAGGGCAAGCTCAGTCCTGTGAAGAAGAAAACAGCCACATCACTCAGAAAGTGAGGGCTCCTACGAACTTGTCCAGATTAGCTGCATGCACAGGTCCACGGGGATGGTAACAAAGAGCATGCAATCCTCCCACAGGTTACTCTTCTCAAGAGTCATTAAAAGTAACAGCTGAGAATCAGTGTGGGACTAATTAGTTAAGAGAACAAAATTTAAAAGAAAAGTGGTAAAAGAGCCATAAAATAAAATAACTCTGCATTCACAAATACAAGACTGCCAACGAAAGGGCTGTAACACAAACAGTACTTGGGTTTCATACTTGGACAAAGAAATCCGCTCTAAATTTGCCTTTCTCCAGAGGTGTTTATCCTGCAGCCGTATTTAGAGAGACTGGCCTCAGTTCTGTTTACATTTCATTTTCTCCTGAAACTGCTGAAAACTGTAGCTCACTAGCTCCTATTGCTAAAGCACAGCAATTTCAGACAGAATGCTAAAAAACAACCTCCTTCCTCTCTACTTCCTCATGACTGTTTAACTCCACGGCTTGCACTGCCCACAATTATACCTGCAGATCTATTTTTGCTGTTCATATGGGCAAAGTGTCATGTTGTATGGTAATCATCCGAACAAAAAAACTAAGAGAGAATGTAGATAACCCTAGTATTGAGTCAGTAAGGGGCTACGAAAGCCTATAAAGGTAGAGTGGCTTTTAAAACCTTACTTGAAACATACATAGATCGAAAATTATCCTTCTGACCCTCCAAAGGTAGGCTACACACTTCTCAGCAGCAGCAACAAAATATGCTCCTCTGAAAACAGCCACCAGGTCTTTAGCTCTTCTGTTCTCTGCAACAATCTTAGCGCAGGATAAACACGCCTCTAATGGCACAAATGCAGAGCTTTTACTTCCAGCAACTTCTCTACCAGTTCTGGTAAGCACTTCCATTAAACAACAAGTTTCTGTTGGTGCGGGAGCTCCCCTTGGATGCTATTTGCACAAATAATTACCTACAAGTCCTGACTGAAGCCAACAAATGGCAAAGCTAACTCCTTACAGTCCTTGGAAAGTTCCCAGAAGCATCCTTCATCAATTGTCACGAAAAACCTTCACAATAACCAGACTTCAGAAAGGTTTCCCCCATCAAGCTCTTCGTACCTACCCAACAGGCAGTTGCCCCCCCAGCTTTTGGGGATACGTCAGCGAGCGCATCCCGCCAGCCAAGCAGCTCCAGGACTTCCCAGCTAAGACAAGGTGCAGCACGTCCCCTTGCCTGTCGCACACCCACATGTCGGTGCACTAGAGCACTGGTGCAAGGACACGGGGCGCGCAGCACAAACCACTTGTTGGAGAGCTCCAGAAAAAGGTAGGAAGTATCTGCATATTGCCAGGTAACTGCAATGGGGGTGTCAGGCAGCGTGAGAGCTCAAAACACACCAACCAGATGTCAGGAGCTGTTGGCAGGAGCTTCGCAAGCAGGACGGGGACGTTGGGAAGCAGCAGCCCGTGTCTGAAATCTCTCAACACGTACATTCACACAGCAGGGAACGAGCAACACCGAGCACTTGAAGCACCAGCGCATGAAACCGAAGCGAGGAGGGTGAACAAAAACACAGGTGTGGGAAGCAGCCAGGAGGTGATTCGGGAATTTCAGGGTGAGGGACAATACCCCAGGTCCCGTGCGCTCGGCAGCAAGGGTGACCCAAATCCTGCGGCGAGGCGTCGGGTTCTGCAGCGCTCGGCTGAGGCAGCGCAGGCACGCTGGAGCAGCTTCAGACACACGGTTGAAAATTGAGGTGCTTGCTTAAATCGCAAAGTACATTTCATACAGTCTGTACACCATTCCTTTAATTTAACCGTAAAGTCAATTTTATCTCACACTACTCTGAAGCTAACGCTGCCCGGCTACCCTGACCGCTGCCGACATTGGCTGACGCAACCTGTGCCAGACCAGTAAACCCCTCTAGTTCCCAGCCTGAGGTCATCCACCAGCTCCCTCTGGGAAGGGGGCAGTATGCAGTCAGTAAAAGACACGCTAGAAAATTCACTGCCTGCCCATCTGAAAGGTATCACAAGGTGGGAAAAATATTTGTTGCAGAGCAAGGAGGGAAAAACCCTCTCTCAGGTTACAGAAAGATGCTGACACAAAAAAAAAAAGAAGACTGAAACACAGCTAATAGCAGTAAACAAACAAAAAAAATCATTCCGATAGCTGCTGCCATGGAACCATCTGTATCATTCAGCATTCCAAAGAGACCCTCTACCTGGTTCTCATCCGGATTGCCATATGTATTTCATATGATGCAAGACAGACTAGTGTGTGGGACCCGGAATAAAAGACTTTCGTCAGCGTGCTTTAAATCACACATGTAGCGCTTTTTCTAGAAAGGGCTCTGAAGGGAACTCTGGGGAACTCTGACAGCTCTGCCCCGCATCATGTCTGTAAAACGGCATCTGCCAGCTTCTCTGCCTTGCTGAGCCCAACTCCACCGTTCATAAAACATTTGGATGGCAGTCCTCTCACCCAACCTTAAGCACCTGGGAAGTAAAACAGGTGCAAAAATTAATCTCATTTGCCACCAATGCTTTTAGAAGGAGGGAAGTGACCAGAAGACGCTTGATCTAAGACATGGGAATGAACGGAGAAGACTCCAGGTGCTTATGAAGAGCCATTCCATCAGCACCTAACACAGCAAACACAGAAGTCTCCGCCTGCTCTCTTTGCTTCTGGGTTATAACAAAACAGCTAAATCATGGATAAAAGTAGAATGAAATGAATGAAGCCTTAGTTACCCACACAATTACAAAACTACCTCTGTTCTTAATGGCCGAAGAGGCAAGCACAGCTGCCTGTGGGACAGAACAGACCCAGCAGAGAGAGCCCCTCCGGGCAGACACGAGCAGTTCGCTCCCAGGAACCAGCCTCGGACAGTGACGATGACTGCGATCAAGTTTCACTCCCGTGCAAGATAATTAAAGGCAGCAACAGGAGTACTTGTGAACCACCGACTGCATTTGCACGTGAACTCGGTGTAGTGGACAATTCTACTGAAAATTCTCAAAGGTTACGCTTCAAAAGTAAGCATGAGTTCTGTTCAGAATGGACTGGTTTCTTACTCGTAACACGTCAGATTTATCTTCATGATGATTATAAAATAACACCATACAGAAAATGCATTATAAAAATATTCAGACTGAATCACATCGTGCGCAGAGTCTTCCTTCTAGGAAAACACACTCGGGAAAAGAAATAAAGGTTTCAACCAAGAAAGCAGTAAAAGCAGCAAAGAATTAAGCAGAGTAGTAATAAGCATAACCATTTCCCTCTGTGAGATATCTTTAGAATAGCTGCCAGAAGGTAATTCTTCTACAGATTTCAAATCAAGAGAAGCATTTTGGTTGCAGACATGAGGCAGGCACTGCTGCAATTTAAACCCTGATTTCACTGAGCCACAGCACAAGCCTGAGCAGCAAAGAAAGACAGGGAGGGAAGGTGTAAAGAAAAAGGACAACAGGAGCTGTGAAGGGATAGGTGAAGCTGCTTTACCAGCTGACAGAGAAGGAAAATAAAATTAGTTGTCTCATGCACTGGTTTTGGCTTCTCATGCTCCAGAGGGGGTGGAATTTGGTGCTGTGCAGGGGAAGAACTCCCATCACGAGCAGCTCCGGGGAAGAGGAGGTCTTCCCCGCACTAAAGACTGTGTTGTAACGCAGCAGCATTACAGACGGGAGAAAGAATTATTATTAGAAACAGCAAGTGGGCACAGCAACGGGAGGAATATAGCTACTGACATCGTCCTTTCCCCAGGGACTGCTGGGCTCCAAATGAAAAACATAAATAAAATGCAACCGGTAGTACATCCACAATGTGGACCTCTCCTTTTTAATACTAGGAGTCTCTCCTTTTTAATACTAGAAGTAACGCTACAGATCCGTGCTCCTCTTCTGCAAACACACAGGTCTCCCAGTTCTGACAGCCCAGATTTGACAGAATTATCACTTAATTTTTTGTTCTTGTGCTTGATGCTCTTTGCTTTCTTTCACAGAAAAAAAAATGTTGGGCTGCTCTGCGATGAGAATTTTTCCTCTTTTTTCTTACATAGTGCATGCTAAAAAAACATCTCCAGAGTCTGCAAAAGGAGATACTGAAGCACTGGTTAAATAAGTCAGAAAATGGTGGCTTCCAGTGGAACTTATTATTCTTTCAAAGATTTTGCCAACTCCTCAGGCCATACAAGGCAGAAAAATTGTGCTAGCCAAGCACTGCACTTTGCGTGCCAGGTTCTTCCCAACGCACTCTCAGAACGCACAAGTCCAGGTTTCCTTAGCACAACATATCGACAGATTTTGCAAATTCATCCCATTGTGGCACCCAGAGCTCCCAGACCCCCAGGGACAGCAGGGCCACGCGCAGCTGCTGGAGCTGAACGGCAGCGGGCACACGGGTAGGGGAGACGGGCAGAAGATTCATGATGCTAGCCGGTATTTTGAAAGTTATGTGTCACTTACGTCACACACGTTTCCACTTCCCTGTGGTTTGCCAGCTTTCGGCTGAGGTTTCCCAGGCTCAGCCGGAAGGGAAAAAGAGCAGTGAAGTCAACAGCACGCTCTGCCTACAGCCCCGCGCCGGGACACGGGCCTGCAGAGCAGGGCACGCTTTGTCAACGGGGGAAGAATGCTCTGGTTCGAGGCAATCGGGCTGGCAATGGAAGCCAGGCGTAGATCTGTTAAATAACTGCACTACACACACGGCCAGATTTATTGCTTAGCCAGGATCACTGCGACCTGCCACCGAGCTCCCTGGTAGAAGAGGGCGGTGACAGCTTCACAGCTGACTCGCAGGCAAATAAAACCTCCCTGCGCAGAACAGGCAGTGTTACTGGAACCGCACAGCATTCTGCAGCGGCGGCAGGGCAGGGGTATCAGTTGTTGACACAGACGGGCAGAATCGGGGGCAGTTTCCTAGAGCTGCGTAGCAGAGCTGGCTGGACGTGGCTCCTCGATCTCCTGACAGGGCA